CTACATGTCCTAAAAATGTTAAAATTGCATGACAAAAATTCACTTTGTGCAAGATGAACAGTCAATTTAGCATCACTAAGTCGGTCGAAGAATGCTCTTATAGTTGTGAGATGTTCCTCCCATTCATCAGAGTAGATGATTGCGTCATCAATATATGCGTCACATCCGTGTAGCCCAGATATTACCATGTTTATAAGTCTCTGAAAAGTTGCTGGTGAGTTTTTCATACCAAAGGGCATGACTTTATATTGATATAGGCCGTCTGGTGTTACAAAGGCTGATATTTCTTTAGCTCTATCAGTAAGTGGAACTTGCCAGAATCCTTTTAGAAGATCAAACTTTGTTACATACTTTGCTTTTCCAATTTTGTCAATACAATCATCAATTCTTGGTATCGGAAATGAATCAGTTTTTGTTACAGAGTTCACTTTACGATAATCTGTACACATCCATTTGATTTTGGTACAAGAATACATGGAGAGCTGAAACTGCTTTGACTTGGTTCAATAAAGTCATTATCCAATAAATACTGAACTTCTTGTCTTAGGTACTTTTGTTTTACAGGATTCGTTCTATATGGATGTTGTTTTATTGGTTCAGAGTTTTCAAGAATGACATCATGATGTATTTTATCAGTCTGTGTGGGAATATCAGGAAATAAGTGTTCATATTCATAAATAAGCTGTTTCAGTTCATCTCGTTTCGACGGTTCTAAGTGAACAAGTTTTTCATCCAGATTTTTCAGAATATCAGATTTTTCAAGCTTCGCTGAACCAGGATCAGACTTTTCAAAATTTTCACACCTATTACATTCAATTGAACATTGATTTTGTGGAACAGAGTTTACAAAAGATATAGGTTTACTAATTTTGCTATCTCTGTCAAAATATTCTTTTAACATATTGATATGACACATTTGCTTTTGCTTTCGCCTCCCAGGAGTATTAATAATATAATTAAGGTCACTGACTTTCTTTTCAATAGTATAAGGACCAAAGTATCTTGCCTGTAATGGTTTTCCAGGTATAGGTAAAAGAGCAAGTACTCTATCACCAGGGTTAAAACTTCTTTCCTGAGCATTCTCATCATACCTTGATTTCATTTTACTTTGTGTTAATTTTAAATTAACCCTAGCTAACTCACATGCATTAGTCAACCTATTTCGAAAATCTGATACATACTGAAGCAAATTCAAAGATATGTCATCTTCAGACAGGAATTTCTCTTTTAGAAGTTTTAAGGGTCCTCGGACAGTGTGACCAAATACTAATTCAAAAGGGCTGAAGCCAAGAGATTCTTGAACAGATTCTCTTACAGCAAATAACAATAAATGGATGCCTTCATCCCAGTCTTTTTCAGTGTCAAAACAATATGACCTAATCATATTTTTCAGAGTCTGGTGAAATCTTTCTAAAGCACCTTGACTTTCAGGGTGATAGGCTGAAGACCTATATTGAGTAATTCCTAACTCATGCATGACCTGCTGGAAAATACCAGACATAAAATTTGACCCTTGATCAGACTGTACTGATTTAGGTAAACCAACAAAAGTGAAAAATTTTACAAGAGCCTTAACAATAGTTTTGGCTTTAATATTCCTTAAAGGAATAGCTTCAGGGAAGCGCGTAGAAGCACACATAATAGTTAATAAGTACTGAGAACCTGATTTAGTTTTTGGTAATGGACCTACACAGTCAATAATAACTCTACTAAAAGGTTCATCAAATGCAGGAATAGGCTGTAAATGAGCTTTAGGTATTGTCTGGTTAGGTTTTCCAACCATCTGACAAGTATGACAAGATTTACAGTACCTAGATACATCTGCTTTAAGGCCAGGCCAATAAAAATGATTGAGAATTTTATGGTAGGTTTTATTAACACCTAAATGACCTGCCATGGGTTTTTCATGAGCCAAGCTTAATATTTCCTGGCGATATGATTTAGGGACCACAATTTGGTGATTAACTGTCCACTCCTCTTCAGCAGGGACATTGGGCGGTCGCCATTTTCTCATTAAAATCCCATTGTTTCATAATAACAAACAGGGACTTGTAAAGCTTCATCTTCACTAAAGGCCTTTTGAAAAAGGACTGAAATCTCAGGATCATTTTGTTGTTCCTGGATAAGCTGTGACCTTGACAGCGTGTCATGACCTTGATCTTTAGATCTTGGTGTAGAAAAGTCAGATATTGAAAAATCTGTCTGAGTTTCAGGCAGAGTAGGAGTGAGAGAAAAATTCATTTCATTATCAAAAGACTGACCTATAAAAGTATCAGCTAAGTCAATATCTGAACAATAATTATCTTCTTGAATGGCCTTCTTAGCCATAGCTCGAGTAACTGCACATGAAGGGTAAAGGTCAGGAATTTCCTGCTCAATGGGGTCAGGTATCTGATCCACACAAGGAGTGTCAGTTACAAGTGGATTAACCACTACCTTATCTCCAGCTAAGTCATTACCTAGCAATAAATGAACACCTTTAAAGGGTAAGAAAGATCTTATACCTACAGCCACCGGCCCAGTTACCAAATCTGAGGACAAATAAATATTATGGAGAGGGACATTAGAAAAACCACACTCTACACCCTGAATAAGAACACTAGATCCAGAAGAAGTCTTCTCAGAAAAAAGGCAGTGTATCTGCTAAAATAAGAGATTGAGAAGCTCCTGTGTCTCTTAAAATTTTAATAGGGGTAGGTGGGCAAGTATCACCGATAAGTGACACGGAACCGTCCGAAAGGAATGGTTCATAAATCTCCATTATAGAATCAGACTTGGGTTCTTTGACCTTCAAAATTGCATTGTTATCAATACAAGACTGAGGTTCAGACCTTGAAGTGGTAAGACCTGTGGGTTTGGCCTCATCACGTTGTTGTTGCCTCCTTTTTAAGGTAAAGCAATCAGAAATAAGATGTCCAATTTTCTTGCAATAATTGCATGTAGGACGAAGATAAGGGACTATGACCTTTATGTTCATCAGATGACTTTGGTTTGGGAGTATTTGACTGACTAGATAAGCCAGATAAATTACCAGAACTGAACTTGGAATTAAAATATGAGGGTGTGGACTTCCCTTTATTTAAAAATGAGACTTTGTGGGTTAAAGAATAATCATCAGCTAGACGGGCAGCTTCTTCTAAAGTTTCTACCTGTTTTTCATCTAAGAAAGATTTAACATCAGAGTGAATACAACTTTTAAACTCTTCAACTAACATGAGCTGTCTGAGCTTTTCATGATTTTTATTTATTTTTTTAGATAGACACCACCGATCAAAAAGTTGTTCTTTTTCCCTTGCAAATTCGACATGGGTTTGACCAATTTCTTTCTTAGAATTTCTGAATTTTTGCCTGTAGGCCTCTGGTACTAACTCATAACCTTTCAGAATTAATTCTTTTACATTATCATAATTAGAGCTTTGTTCAACAGTAAGTTGTGTATAGAATTCACGAGCTTAACCAGTTAAGACGCTCTGTAAAAGTAATGTCCAGTGCTCTCTTGGCCATTTTAAATTTTCAGCAACCTTTTCAAAATGAAGAAAATACTTATCAACTTCTTTTTCTTGGAAAGGTGGAACAAGCCTAATATTTTTAGTGACATCAAATTTTGAATTTATTCTATGTTCAAAACTGATTTGCTCTCTCTTTTGATTTCTAATTCTCTAATTTTTAACTGAAATTCTCTCTCTTCTCTTTCTTTTTCAAACTGCCTTTCCCTTTCTTTTTCTTCCCTTTCTTTTTCTAACAGTCTTTCTTCCCTTTCTTTTTCTAACTGTAACTGCCTTTCTTCCCTTTCTTTTTTCTAACTGTAACTGCCTTTCTTCCCTTTCTTTTTCTAATTTCATTTTTTCTAGTTCAAATTTAAATTGAAGTTCAAGCTCTTTTATCTTAATTTCTGGGTTTGTTTTCAACAATCAGAGAAAGTGCATCTTGTCCAAAAATATCTTCATCCACAAAATAATGAATCAGAAGATTTTTAATTTCTTGTTTACGCATTGAAGATTTAATTTCTGATAAATTATACTTTTTTGCAAGATCGAGCAAATCAGTTTTCTTAGCCAAATCTAATACCTCCTGGGAAGGTTCAGCTACAAACTTTTCTAAATTAAAAGACATGACTGCTTTGTTGCTGGTTTTAAACTCAGAAAGTGATGTGTTTCAAAAATTTCAAAATGAAAGGTACACTTAATAGAACAACTATGATATCAACTCAGATGAGTAAATACGGTAATAATAAAATGTAAAATAAACAGTAATAATTTCCAATATTGTAGCCAAAAAGAAATATTCAAATCCCGGACGAGCCCCCAATTTCTGTTACGAGCCAGGCGTAACGAGAAAGAAAAGCCAGCAACAAACTTGTAACAATAACAAATTTATTACAGAAAAATTATTAAAGCAAAATAAAATAACAAATTATGATTACAAATACCTGAAGTCCAAATAAAAATGAAAATTACAAATGTCTAGTCTGATCCTGGAATGATCCTTTTTTGAATAGCACATTTAAATCCAAGTAAAATCCAAGAACACTTAAGAATAAATTCCCACAATAAAATCCACAAGAATAATTTATTTTAAAAATCCAAGCTCCAATAATTCACTTAATATCCAAGTTGAAATAATACTCCAAAATATATTGATTTCTTAAAAGGTAGCTGATGACTTAATAGATCACTGATGACTTAAAAGGTAACTGATGACTTAAAGATAAGAGTAATGAAAAATGTCTCCTTATATATGTTAACTAAGAAGTTTCTAGAATAGTCTTCCATTTACTACAGTAATCATAATCTAGCAACTTCACCAATAAAGATCATTCCAGACATTTCTATCTAAATATTATGCATAAGTTTTCTTCAACAGTTAAGAACGTTCTAGTACATACATGTAGTTTATGTTTTAAAAATAGACGATGATAATATTGGAAATACCAACTGGTCAGATGTAAATTATATACATGTAACATGTTGCATACATAACAATGTTAACATTTATAACAGATGCAGTAATCACTGGCTGGACTTCTCCATCTGTCATAGCTACTACTTCTGGTACTGCGGGCGGAATCTCCATAGCTGAGAATACAGCTCTCGACACAACAATATCAACATTTACGGCTACAAGTCATGGTGCAGTTACTAGTTACACATTGTTAACACCGGGCACGCCTTTTTCTCTGGTTACAGTTACTGGAGTGTTGAAGTTATCCACAGCCCTAGATTATGAAACTACAATCAGTTATACTATTGAGGTGGAGTAAGTAACTTTAGGTTTTTTATAAGTATAGAAGCATAATAAAAGAATGACTCGTTCAGTTTGTTTGTTTAATCACAATTTTTATTGTAAACAACTTTAATGCAGGTACACTTTGATAACAGATTGTAACACAATAATTAGTTTTACCCTCCACTCAGATTTGATAATATTGATTGATTCTCAAATCTGTTTTGTTACGAAACTGTATTATTATCTTGTCATGTGTGTGTTAGGGGGGAAAAACCTACTAAAAAATAAACGTATTATAAGAATTTTTTTCCAACATTTTTACCACATGTAACAAAAATAAACGATCATATGAAACATAAAATTGTCCTTTTATAAAATGCAAAAAATAAAAGATATACCTGTTAATATTAAAGTTCCATTTGATTTAGGTCTAAACCAATAGCTTGCGTGCAAAATTTCAGATTATATGCTCAGTCCATTTCACCAGAATATTTTTCTAATATTGAAAAATGACCAAAATATTGAAAAGCAATTAAATGCTTTTCGCTCAAATCGTGCTACAAATAGGGCACACTAGGACACATGTGCAATTTTCATTTTATTTTAGGTACATTTCTTTACGCTCTTTCACATATATTTCTAGGAAACCAGTACACATATTTCAAGTATGATATACTTAACTGTTCACTAAATGAAACTGATTTTCACCATAGCAGTAACTTATTGCCAATACGTAGAAATCAAATATCAGTCGATCATGAAAACGCATCGTAAGGAATCAAATTTTTTGCGTACAGTTAGTTTATCGGACCAATTATCATGCGTGCAGTAAGAAATATGGAACAATTGTAGATATATGCAAAATATATCGATAAAAGTTTTCGTTTATTTTGTTTTGTTTTTTATTGTAAACATGTTGTTGCTATAAGTAATCAAATATCTGTTCCATAACGTCTGTTATTTTCTTGCATATCAGACTGGTGTTTCCGTGAGTTTTACCCATGCCGGAAATTTCATCTGGCATGGGGGGTTCAAGATGAGTCGCATGCTGTACAATGGCACTGTTAGGATGACGTCATTTTACCGTTATGAATGAAGTTGTAATTCATACGCTGTTGTAAGAAAGTAGTTACGGTTGTTATATGATATAAATTTGTATTGAAAATAAAGCTAAAGAATTTAAAATATAATGGAATATGGTAGAATATGCAAGAAAAAACATCTGACATATGTTTGCGGTTCGGATCGGAATATCCGTCCCTCGGTCACCCCCCCCCCCCATGGGCAGTAACTCGGCAAGCCTCGTTACCGCCCAATGGGCGGGCCACCTCGGGACGGATATTCCGATCCGAACCGCAAAATATGACATATATTATTATTATTCGTTAAATAACTATTCAGATTGCCGGTGGCATTTGAAGTAGCAAATACCTCAATAACCTTCTCCTTACAATGAAATAGATTCTTCTATTTTGACCATCATATACAAATATATTTTCGCTCTGCATGCAATATGTTATTCGAACAAAAATACAGCGTGCAACAAATATTTGAAGCAAACTGGTTCTTACCCACATTATTTGTCACTTTCGCACAATTTCACTTCGCTTAAAACGTACCGCAACGCTCTACGTTTGTCTCCTTGATAATACTTGTAATTCATATCATATTTTTTGTGAAGCATAGACTCATTACATTCGGTTTTCATCTTATTTGAAACGTAGTTGTTCTCTAGAATAAGACACTAAGTATTATTTGCAAACGTATATTTGAACTTCAAGTATTATTACATTTATTAAGTTATCAACATGATGATTTAATTGTCCTCTTAACCGGGTTCAATTTATTAATGGAACTTTTAAATATGGTCATTTCCCCCCCCCCCCATTTTTGCCTGCTCTCTTTGAACATTCAATCAAAACCTTCAGTCCTCCTCTCCCTAAATAGCACCCTTTTTATTATAAAGATTGTCCTAATCTATTAATTTATTGCAATATAACTCATGTTGCATGACTTTATATAATAACCCTCTCCATGTTCGACACGTTAAGCCATCTCCCGTTATATTGCCTTATTTCGGTTCGGCACTTTATTGATGGTCCTATGCGGCTGGAGGATGTCCCGTAATATGGTCTATTACTAATCATTAGGCTCTTTTTACACTTTGATTACACTATTACAGTACTAAATCTTTTTCACAGTTATCATCTAGTTCGCACACTGAGTGACTTTGTTTTTAGTGATTTATTTTAAGAAAAATGATGTTTTTGTACCAGTGCTCGAGCAAGTCTTAAGACATCGTGATACAATTGTGTTTGTTTGCTTAATAATTTGATTTTTTTTCTTCAGAGCGACAGACGATGCTAGTGCTGTCGGCACTGCAACGGTGGTAATCACAATAACTGATGTTAATGAAGCACCAGCGTTTAGCCAAATATCTTATAACGTTTGCGCAACAGATGGTTCAGCTGCAGGTAAGTCCATCAAGATAGGAAATTTATATTTAGCTAAAATACCTTCAGTTTTTTATTTTTTTGAAAATAACAAGAAAAACAGTACAAGTATAACGCTGGTATATCTGATTTACTCAGCATTTTTTCGTATGTCAATCTGTAAAAAATATTGAGGTCGCACTCTTTTGGTTGAAGCAGCAGGCCTCCAGAAGATAATAGAAAAAACTACCGTCTTAGT